CTCCCCCCCCCCCCCCCCCCCCCTCTTTTCCTGGCATGAAATACATAGGCCATTCCTGTTCCTATAAATCTAATGCCATCTGCACACCCCCATCCCATTCCCCACGGCCTCTGCTTCTCTTACCCTGCTCCCCCACAACTGTCAGATGTTGTCTGGACTCTGTTCCCTTGCAGAGCTTGACACATGGAAGCATAGTCCTTCCCGGGTCATGCAGCGGTGTTGGCTGCTGATTTGGCTGAGCAGGGGGAAAAGTTTCCATGTGCTCAGGAGGGAACCTAACCTGATCCAGAGCAGAGCTACACCTGACAATATTGGGGGGGAAGGAAGGGGGCACAAGTGCAGAGGGCAAATGGGGGGTGGGGGCAGGAGGCTGCTGTGGGTCTGACTGGCCCTGAAGCTTCCTGCCCCCCACCCTCCATTTGCAAATCTGCAAAGCTAAGACAAGGGGCACTTTTTTTCCTTGCTCCATAATGATATGGGGAGAAGGGGAGCATCTCACCTCAGATTTTGAGTAAATACAGTAATTATGGGGCAATAGAAAGCCTCATTAGAAAGCTTTGGCTTCTGTTGTAGTGTTTGTTATAGCTTGCTTTAGTTATCCAGATTGAGTATGTTAAGAGGGCAGGTGATGCTAGCTTGCTGGTCCTTGACTCTTCTTCAGATACGATTTTGAAACTCAGCATGCTTTTGTTGGCGATTACTCTGGACAGGTCACGCTGCTGAAGCTTGAACAGAATATCTGCTCAGTTATAACAACACTTAAAGGGCATGAAGGTAAAGTAGATTCCCTTTCACTTTGACCAAAATTTGGAATAGCCACTTTGTAGCAGAAGGCATGAAATTCAAACTTGCATACCTCTTGATGTAGGTTCTAGATCAGTGGCACTGTACCTTTTTTTAGTCTTTTTTTTTTTTTTTTAAAAGGCACCCTTCTGACTTCTGAATGTAGTGGGGCCCCCCATTTAAAAAAAAAAAAAATAGTGCATTAAAAATAACATGACTGGAAATGTTTTAAAAAACAAACTGGAAAAAGCATACATGAATAACATTAATATTAATCATAAGTCTGCCAATCCCTAGATGAGAACTGCTGCTCTAGAAAAGTACTATTATGGCTCCTATTGCTATAAGGTCTGAACACCCCAGATTTCATTTCATTCCTGATGTCTGAGGCACTTGGGTATTTAAGTGTGTGGTCTAGAAAAGCTTTTTAAAAGCAAAATAAGATTTCTTGTGCAAGACATACGATTAGCAATAAAGCCAATTTTCCCTAGCTTGGTGGAAACCACTCACTTTCACTTCTTTATTTCTCCTCCCCTTTCATGCATTATATTGAAGGGGCAGTTCTGTGAAACAAGGAAAGGAAAAGCTTCCCCTGCAGGACAGATACTTTTACATAATAGCTGGCTCCCTGCTGTGGGAGGGATCCAGCTGGCACAGTGCAGTGTGGCACAGCTTAGTAGCAACTCTCACCATCTTTACCCTAGGGCTTTGTTACAGGTTCCTTCTTGGAAGAGCTTCTTGGCATAGGGCCTCCCACTGTCTTCCTAAGGAGTAGAGAAGGGGCTGGCTTCCTTCCAGAGCTCCTGCCTTGTTCTTACCTGGGTCTTGCCTATGTTCCCAAATGAGCCATATTCTGTCCCAGAGTTGCATTAGCTTTTACTGCAGCTGTTCTACCATCTCCTAGAAACAGTGGGGCAGTTGACCTGGGAGCAGGGACACTGCATCACCCCTTAAAAGGAGCTTGTGGCACCTTGGTTGAGAATCTCTCCTTGCTGTTTGGCTTATTTAGAAAAGTGAAGTAGTGAACTTGCTGAAGCTCTGTAAGTACTCCTCTAAAGAAATATTAGGAATTAAATTTTGATGCTTCTAAATAACCTGACAGTTCAAATAGCTAAGAACTCGAGTTTTTTCCTAGTAAGCTGTACGGTCTTCACTCAAGGGCTGACCTCTTGACCCCTCCCCAAAAGTTGGGTAGCAGCAACTTTTAGAAGTAGCTAAATTGTGCATACAAATAGTTAAGCTTGCAGTACATATGCACCCACTAGATGGCCACCTTTCTCAAATCTAGCTTACATTCATTGAAAAAAAGAAAAGGAATGGTCCATCTAGGTGATTTTATATTTAACCATTTCTAAGGCAAAATGGCTGTTTGTTTTCTGCATACATTCCTCTTGCACAATTTAATTTTAACCAATTGTAACTGTGTAGAAATGTATAGGGTAGCTTCTTTAAATTATGAGATTAAATGATTGAATTGATGCATTTGATTCTAATTTTCTATCTTGAAAAGAAATGGAGAACTTGATAAGCAGGGCTCTAACTAAATATCCTAATTTAGAGCCTTTTGTGTAAAATGCTGAGTGGAGAGAGGAGCCAAAATCTGATCCTGTAAAAACAAATGGATCATGTACAGGCCCCTACTTCAGTGCTGGCTAGGTTACTTCTGGTGCCAAACCAAAAAACTGAGCAGTAGAGACATTCTGCAGGTGCCCCATACTGATCTTCTCAGTCATACTGGAGAGATCTCTTGAGAGCAGTGACAAGAGGCAGTCTCAAGATGCTTTCATTCTTGCTTCTGGGTTTGTCACTGGCACAGTAGGAACAGGTAGGCAAGGTATGAATTTTGAAAATGCTTGGGTACGTATGTCTTTCTTGGTAGAGTTTATTGTGAAATTGAGCTGGGGCATGCTGAGAAGTCACAAACTTTGCGACGTCACATGCTTTTGTTGATTTGAGTCAGTTGACATGTGGTGATGAACAGCACTGAGTGGAGCACACCTTCTCAGTCCTAATGTGGAGAATACAAGTTTCTGTGTATTGTTTGAAAATACCAAGAAAGACATACGTACCCAAGCAGAGTTTATTGTGAAATTGAGCTGGGGCATGCTGAGAAGTCACAAACTTTGCGACGTCACATGCTTTTGTTGATTTGAGTCAGTTGACATGTGGTGATGAACAGCACTGAGTGGAGCACACCTTCTCAGTCCTAATGTGGAGAATACAAGTTTCTGTGTATTGTGGTAGCTTTTCTTTCCTGTTTCTGCCCAAGAGTTGCTAACTTTCTGCTTTTAAAGTGCCTGAAGTGTATACATTTTTAGGCAACTGACACGTAAGTACAGGGGGTTGAAAGGAAATGGGTAAATGAAGTAATCTCTCAGCTCCCTGTGTCCTACAAAAAAACAATAAACTTGCCATTTAATTGCTTCTATTTTAAAAATAAGCGGTTCTTTCATTTATTTGAAAACTTGAACTACTATGTGAATGTACTTAATAAACAACTGAGAGCATTCCATAAATAAGAAGTAGTCTTGCCAAATTAAACACTATTGGTTGTTCTGTCCTTTTCCCTTTAAAGCTTATTTGTGCACTGTAGTGATTTATTGTTTAAGTTGGTAAACTGCTAAGCATGCTTACAATAGGGAATATCCCCTTTTGAATTGGTTCTTAAAATTTTCTTTCTTCTAGGAAGCATTACTTCCTTGTGGTGGGATCCTGTTCAACGTCTCCTCTTCTCTGGAGCATCCGATCACAGCATTATCATGTGGGATATTGGTGGAAGAAAAGGACGAACACTGCTGCTTCAAGGCCATCAGTATGTAGCAGTGAATTATGGGGGGGGGTTCTTCCTCATACTCTGGCTTTTGGGCATCTCTTCAGAGACTGAATGGTGGAGCAAGCTCTCGCGTATTAGTCATGCTCTAGACAAGATGGAACTCAGCAGTGTATCAAGCAGCATTGCAGTTGTAAGAGGATTTTTCTGTCAGCTTGGGCTCTACTGGAGTGGGGAATGGCAGGATTGCAGGCTAAAAATAATTTTCTGAAGTTGAGGTGGGAGAAAATATTGCCCATCTGATGCTCCTAAAAGTTCCTAATATTGCAGTGCAGCGGTCAGATTCCACTGACATAATTCACCTTTCATTGGAATACTTTTGGAGGATGGAATAGAAATGGGGAGGAAAGGGATAAAGATGTAGGACTCTGAAGGGAGAACCACAGTCCCTCAAGGAAGAGGGGCATGCAGACTTGGGAGACATGTGCAGGGGCTCCCCTTTGCAAAAGATAGTGGAGGGAGAACAGGCCCACAATGGCAGGGCAAAACGTGGGAAGAGGGTTTCTGTCTGCATAGAACCCAGATATGAATGAAAGTTTAGAGTAGAGCGGGGAGTAGTGTTGCTTGTTTGGCTCATACTTTATGAGCTTCATTGTAAGCTATTCTAAGCCGCCTTTATACAAGATGGCATAAATGCATGTGAATGCACATATTTATGTAAAGTCATTTGTTCTGATGTGTCGTCTTTGTCTTGGTTTAATCGGAGGAGTACTTTTTACCTGGCACAGCTACAAAAATCTCTGAAGCATCTACACGCATCTTTTGCTTTTTTTTTGACAATCTTGATGAATTCCTACTAGTCAGTATAGCAACATGCAAGTCTAATGGGTTTGCTTAAATGTATATTGCTCTATGAATTTTAGATTGAAATAAAAATAAGACACTTGTATGAGAGTTTTTTAGCTGTATCTTAATCTGTTTGGTGTATGGAAATTAGTTCAGATGTTCATAGAGCCTAAAAAGTCCCATTAGTTATGTCAGTGTCTTGCTGGTGATCTCCCTTCAGTGTAAGGATTTAAACTTGCTGCTTCCTGGCCTAACATAGTTTTAGCATAACTGCATCAAGGCTGAGCACTCAGCAGTTCAAGTACCCAGTTGACTTCTAACCTACACTTGGGCATTGCTAGCACACTAGGCTGTTGCTTGATAGACTTGCTTTAAGATAATTTTACAGTTGACAAGACCTGGTCACTGACTTTCAGCTTAGGTGGGTCTTCGAAAATTCACACCTGAACATAAGAGCATTGCTTTTTGCTTAATTTTTTCAAGGGCAAATAATGTTCACTCTGTTTACAGTGACAAGGTGCAGGCCATCTGCTACCTCCAGCTCACACGGCAACTAGTGTCCTGTTCAGCTGATGGCGGAATTGCTGTTTGGAATATGGATATCAGCAGAGAAGAGGTAAGAACTTGTGCTAGTGCAAAGATTTATGCTGCTGCCAGGCAGACTATTGTGGAAAATATTACTAGGTTAAGTTTAATTTTAGTAACCTTCACTGTATAAGTCTGTTCCCCAGGAAACACTAGAAATTCCCGGGAGCTCTAGAAATATTTGGAAGCATTACAGACTTGACTAAAGTGTCCCAATGCTAACTTCATTGTCAAGTTTTCAGATTACAACAATATTTCTGAAAACGCTAGTGCAACTTCTAGCACATCTGTAGTTCTCTTAGTGCATTAATCTCCAAAGCCTGGCCAAACGCTTGCAGAGAAGGTAAGGAGGAAAACTAAACACTATATCTTGTTTAAAAAAAAAAAAAAAAAAAAGAGGTTGTGGGGGGGGTTGTTCATCCTCAATTGACAGTTGGAGGGGAAAAGGATGTTAACGCTGGAAATGGCTGACTAGATGAGAATAAAGATGTTCCTGCATTTTTTGGCTTACTCCACAGCCCTTCATGATCAGCAGAATCCGGACAACAAAATCCAGCAGACTTCAAACCCTGCAGCAAACTAACAATTCAGCTATAGCTTAGTCCGTTTTTCTTATTAGAGTACTGGTAACACACAATGCTGTGGGCTAAAAGCCATGTGTCGGGGGTGCACGGAGTTCTTGTTAACAAATAACTGGAGTTATGACTCCTTCCCCCTGCATGTAGCTCAGCACTGTATACTCTGGTTTTTATGTGGCTAACTTCATGCAAGACAGTTTTTTAGAACAACTGGTGTAATGCCTTTTAATGTCCAGAGCTGTTGCAGGAAGTATTTCTTTAAATTTCACCGTGAACATCTAAAACGGCCCCTACTGGTCATGGTACAGACAATGACTAACATGCCAAGACTGGGATTCTTTTCTCTTTCCCCAGGCTCCTCAATGGCTAGAAAGTGATTCTTGTCAGAAATGCGAACAGCCTTTCTTCTGGAATATAAAGCAGATGTGGGACACAAAGACACTAGGGTTGAGGCAGGTGAGGATATGATTCCTAAATCTTCTGCAGTGCTTCTACTGTTTGTAATGGACTACGGTGTCACAGGTCTCTACAATCTGTCTGTTCTTCAGCATTTTTAAATGTAGGGGACACACCCACTTTTTCACTTACTTTTCCATGTTAAAGGTTTAACTAAAGAAGCTCATGTGGCTCTAGTGGTCATTGTCCTGTGTTTATATTGGGTAGTGTTGAGTTTGGAGCCAGTGAAAAATCATCTCCCTCCCCTTACCTTAGGTTGCTGTGGAGGTGGGGAGAAGATTTTTTTTTAAAAAAAAAATCAGTCTTAATGAAGTGAGCTGGACTTCACTGAAAGTGCACTGTGATTTGGTACCATGCCACTTTGTCTTTTTTCACAATACAGTTTTCAGTGCTTGCATTGACAAACTGTTACCAGTGTGCAGACCCTGCATTGGATACCTAGATGGTGTATTGAAACACTAATGCTCTTTCCTCTGTTATTTTGCTGTATTCATTCTATAGTGTGCAAAGAGAAATCTGTTTACCCTTCTGGGGAACCCATGGGTAGGGAAAGGATGTAGACTATATGGGATAAGAACCTGGCTCTGGAAGTCTGCCATCATTCCAATTGAATTAAATGGGACTAGGATTTTACCCATGGCACTATGGTCTTTAGGTGTTAACTGGTATGAAATTGTACTAGTTTTAGTCAAGTGATGCCTCCTGATGCAGTTGCTTTTAGGAAGGCCCCTCATGTTCTGAAATGCCTGTTTTTATACTTCTATGAAGCATCACTGCAGAAAATGTGGCCAAGCAGTGTGTGGTAAATGCAGCACCAAGCGGTCCAGCTACCCAATCATGGGCTTTGAATTCCAGGTCCGTGTCTGTGACTCTTGTTTTGAATCCATCAAGGATGAAGAGTGAGTATTTTGAAAGCTCATTCAACAGTTAACCTCTTCCAACAAGTATTTTGTTTGTTAAAAGTGAGAACTTTCTAAATAATTAAATGAGGTTATTTTGCCCCATTTTTCTGAAGGGGCAGGAGGTTTGGCAAGCTACAGGAAACTGGTAAAGGTACATGGAAGAACCTGGGGAAACCTACAGGGGGTTTTTTTGGTTTTAAAGAACAGTAATGTAAAGGAGCATACCAGTACCTAGCAGACCTTGGTCCTCTCTAGACAAAGCATAAAAAGAGTTCCACAAACCACAAAGTTCTAGCTCAGGTTTGTGAGCTCAAATTCTGCTCTTGAAATTGAACAGAGCCTGGACTAAGCAGGGCTTTCTTATAGATAGCCACTGTTGTGAGGATTGATTTAGACTTTATAGGAGAGTTGTTTTACTTAACTGTTCTGTATTGCTGTAATGTATTGTCTGGCTCTGTGTAATGGCTGTCTCTTATTTAAACTGTTTTCTCTTACTAGTCGTGCTTCCTTGGCAACCTTTCATGAAGGAAAACACAACATTTCCCACATGTCCATGGACATCTCTAGAGGCCTAATGGTGACCTGTGGGAGTGATCGAGTTGTGAAGGTAGGATTACTTCTTCTCTACACGATGTAACACTCCGTCTTATGAAGATAAATGACAATGTTAAGCCAACAAACCAAATTAACTTTCCTTTTTTTAGTGGTTGCATTTCTCAGTCTGCTACAAGCTGTGTAGATCTGACTTCCCTAACTTTTCCCCCTTTTTTTTTGCTAGAATAAGAGTAAAGATTACTTAGCTGGTGGGTTAACATGAAGATGATCTCCATAGATTTAAAAGATTGCTTTTATAGTTCTGCTAGTTTGAGATGATAAAACACTGCATGATAGGGAAATAAAATCCCTTAATTTAAAATGCTAAGGATTCAGTTATACAAAGCAATCCCAGCCATGCATGTGACATCCACTGACCTACTCTATATTATGCAAATTCTCATTATGCACTTAAACTTCCCTAGAGGATCATCCTGTCTCTCATACACTTTAATTTAATTCCCACATGTAATGAGGGGGGAGGGACTTTGTCTGCAAGCAGCCAAGATGCTCAGTGAACTCAAAGAGGGGGGGAAAAAAACAAAAAACATACTTTACTGGAACAAGCAGCACATTACTTCAACCCAGCTCTGCAGCATCTGTATAGATTGGGTGCTTCATTGGGGCTTTTTGGCACTTTTAGCTAAAACTGATTCAATCAGGTATTGGGTAAAAGCCCCACTAGAGCACCCAGTCTTTACAGATGTCAGGTAAGCCAGGTGCAACAAAAGCGCTGCCTTTTTTTGGGCGTGTGGGGCTTGGCACAGGAACATGCAGACTTTAAAGTAAAGAACCATTTGTCTTTTTTGTTTTTTAAGGGCTGCAAGCAGCCCTTAAGATTAGTCTCCTGCATGTGTATATGCTTGGGCACTTCTACCTTTTTAAGTATAGGCTAGTGACTATTTCAGACTCTCATATTTCAGATAAAATATTTATTTTCTGAGAGGAACCACTATGCATGCAATGCCAGTGTAACAGTTGTATCATAAGACCAGGCTGGCAGTAGAACTTCTAAACCGACCATACTGAACTTCTTACTGTGACTGAGAATACCTGCATCTTTTTTCTTGCCATCACAACTGGTAAGTAACAAGATGCCATCAGGGTCCAGTATATTTGCCTCTGTGTGCTGAGGAAGGAGATATCATGTGGAAGAAAGCATAATGTATTCCTCTAACCTGCATTAGATAAAGCCAAGTAAGTATTGTGGCATAAGTAGCTCTGAATGCTGCTAAGAACCATGGCTCCAGTGTTGGTGGTGGTTAAGCCATGTTGTGGTAATGCTACTTTTGGACTCTAACTGAAAATGTGCTTCTTCTGTGCCTAAATGCCCCCTTTAGCAGCTCTCTCCTCACTTTTAAAAAGCTGCTGTTGGAATGTGCTATTGAATTGCATCAGGTGTTGTACTGTGTTTCTGCACAATTGCAGTGATACAAGTAGGCTAAATAGTCCTGATTTAATTCAGCACCAGAGAGGTAAGTTCCACTTTCACTGCATGATTATGTAGTGATACATAAACTGTTCATACTTATTTGAATTGAAACAATTATTACCTCTCTGTGTCTTTATTCTGCTTTCAGTAAGCTGTTCATGTAACCTGTATGCTGTTTCACAAATGTATTTGAAACGCATGTTTTCTTGCACTTCCTCTCAGCAAAATGTGCTTTTTTTTTTTTTTTTTTTTTTTTTCCTGTGCTCCCTGCTGTGCCTCACGTGCTCCACCCTTTTAGCACCCTCCTACCCTCTGCTGTCTTCATGTGCCCTCACCTGGGTGTACACACTGAATCGCCTCCTAGCTCCTGAAAAATGTACCCTCTTCAAACAGTAATGCTTTTGCATGTTGGCAACATCCATCTTAGCTTTTAGATGTGAAGCTGGGGTTAAGCTGAAAAACAGCAGTTCCTTCCTACCATTGTATAGGACAAGCTTTTTTGGAAGTAGAGGTGTTTTTTTTGGGTTTTTTTTGTTTTGTTTTGGCAGGTGGTCAAAAAGAGACTTATGTTGTTCAGTATTGCATGATGCCCTGTGCAATTCCCCATATTGTGTTTTTCTTTCAGATATGGGACATGACACCAGTAGTTGGTTGCAGCCTTGCAACTGGCTTCTCATCACGCTGATGTGGGACCTAACTGATTTATGCACCTTATGTACAGCACCATGCACCGAATGAATGAAATCCCTCCTAAGATTATTGCCACAAAACACTGGTTGCTTGATCTTCTGCTGCTCTTCCAGGATGGACAGTCACTGTTGTACAGCACAGCTGTACTGGACTTGACAGGAATCACCTTGATTATAGAAATGCAGTTTTGCAGCCTGTTAGATGATCGGGGTGGGGGGGAAATGGCTTCACCTGCAACATGACACCATGATGCAAGGACCTGGTTTACATGTGTCAACAATGTGCTCTGTCTGCTGATAACTCTTTAGCTACTGTACAGGACTTATCAGAATAAAATGGGTTTAGTGCTCTCAAATTTGTGCAAGTAGTAAATAACTTATTCTCACTTCCAGTAAGCAGTCTCTTTGGAACTACTTGTCTGGTGCATAGTCACTGTCTAGATTGCCTCCAAAGGGCAGATTTGGTTAACTTTTTGGAAGGAGGAAATATATCTTTCTTTTAAGCTGCATTTGATTAACAGGGTAGACATTCCCATAGAGGCAGCACTGGAAGTAACTGTTTTGATTTGTAGGAAATCTTATCCACTAGCTGGCTTGGAGTGTTGTCTGCAAGTTCAGTTATGTTAAAACTCATTTTTGTAAGGCATCTGTTCTGTTCAGATAGCTTGCAACTGTCTGCAAATAATCCCAGGCTCTTAGACATGCTCAAGTTATATTTAGACCCTTTTTTGGCTAATGTGTATACTTTTAAAACTCTTCTATAGTAGAAAAAAGCTGCATGTGCTCACAAATAGTGAGAGCAGCCCATGATATGCCTCAAACCATATGCAGAGTACAGATTTATTACAGTACAGTACTGTTCCAATGGAGAACCATACAGACCTTTCTTTGAGTGTAATGTTAAAAAAAATAGTCCCCTATATAATTCTAATGGATTAGACCTTTCTGTTTGAAGAAAGGTTGATAGTTCATTCCTTTATCATGAAGGAACTGTCTGCAGTTGAAGTGTAGCATTAATTTGAATACTATCTTGGTTTTGCTTTAAAATTGACATTTTAACCTTGCTGAAATATTATTTTCTAAAGCAATAGTTTACCAAGGTACCGAATATTTCCTGGGAATAGTTGCCCTCCACTGCACCTCGGGTCTAATACTAGGAAATGTTGTCCGTAGTACTGGTCCTTGTCTCCGCTAACCTGAGAACAGTGGTAAAAACTGGCACTTCTGTGGGTGGTGCATTTGCAGGGAACGTCTAGATAAATATAGTTGTGATCCATTGGTCTGTCAGTTATAAACTGCCTACATTCCATAAATATTTGTGTAATACCGTAAAGTTATTGGCTTACAAGGGCATATTAAGTAGCATAAACAAACTCTCTTTTTAAGTTTTTCAGCTTTATCATGATAGTGCATGGTGCTTTATCATGTGCTTTATCATGATGGTGCATGACCAAGTGGTGCTATGGATATTAGAAAACTAAAATTTATTGTCATATATCTTGATAGGTGGTGATGATTGCATTTGGTAACATACTGCAGTTAGTGATTTGTGATGTATTATCAAACCCTGATCTTAACAATGGACATCTGTTATCTAAAAGTAAGCTTAATCGGGTATCCAGTGAGGCACTAAAATCACATTATCAAATTTTAGCACTGGTCCTCTTCCTTTAAAAGTGGCTTTGTCTAACTCCTTGTATAGACCCTCTTTAAAAATACTTTTATAAGGAGAACTTGCTGGACTTCCTATTGCCTCAGACTTTGCATCCCAGCTTGCCTACTTTTTTTAAATATTGCCCTTTCTAATTCTTAATGTAAAAGAATAAGTAGCAAGTGAGGTGTTTTTTGTTTTGTTTTGTTTTTTTGCCCAGTTCGTATTGAGAGAGATACTAGAGAAACAAGTATGTCTTTTTCCAAAGCTATTGATATCCTTTTTGCCAGAAAGCGCACAAATCTCCAATTCATAACTCCTTTAGATCATGATACACTAGGAAGGGAACAAATGTTTAGAATGGATGAAAAGATATTTATTTCAAACGTTTTTGCTCTTCACCTGTTTGTGTCCCATCTGTGTGGTTTGCTAGCAAAGCATAGATGTAGCACTTGTGAAAACATTCTTCTCTGTGCTATGTGCAAAAGAAACCAGAGGGTGTGTTTTGTAGTGAGAAAATCAGATTTGGTCCAGTCTTGACTGCCACAAAAGAGAAGGAATATTTTGTGAGCCACAGTATAATCTGTTCCTCAGGGCCTTTTGCAGGGAAACCCTGGTTTCTCTTTAATAGCTACAATATCCCAAAGCAGAAGTCAAGAACTTTAGGACTAAATGCCAGTTGATCAGCAGTATGGTGTTCTTAAAGTGGCCTATGTTTCAGGGATAATCTTTACCAGGAGGTAAAGAGCTAGCACCACCTAGCTTCAGCTGCTTCAGTTCTCTTATGCAGATCACACTGGTATTCTAGCTGTCCAGTCTTTTCGCTTTTTTTATGAACAAGTTCTTCCATTTTGACAATCACTTTTTTTTCCCCCAGTCTTACTTCAAGGTTTTACCAGTAGATCACATATTAAATCTAGTTCATAATTAATCCTAAAGAATTATATTTTCTATGATATGCATTGAAATAAGAATTATAGAGTCACTTGGATACAACAAGGTAATTAGAGCTGACAGGACATCTGTTGATCACTTAAAATTAAACCTTGAGTAATTTGTACAACCCACTTGAAGTGTACATGTCTTGCTTTAATTTAAAAAGGCACATACTGTATCTTGTGCAATTTTAACACATAGTAACTATCCCAGTGAATCAAAATGTGCAATTGAGGACATTTGATTTGAAGTATTACCAATATCTTTTTTTTGTTTTTTTGTGTGACCTTTTTAATAGAGTAAGGGGGTCCTAGTTTATGTATCTTTGTTTCATTACTAGTTATTTCTGTACCCTGCATAGGTAGAAGAACTAATTTGTTCCTTGCTCCCTCTCCTCTGTCTCTTTTTTTTTTTTTTTTAACTTTTGAATAAATGTATAATAAAATATTTCTTGATATTCACACAGTTGCAGCAGATTAATCTGTTTTGACCAGCTTGCAGAAACACGGGTGTAAATGTGCTACCCACAGAGTTCTAGTGCTCTAATCCAGCCTCTGAACAGGGGGCAAACTCAGGCTCCTGGTTGAGAAGATGGACATGTTGGACTCACAAAAATCATTCAAATGGAAGTCCTATAGTGTGCAGCAACTATGACTAGGGGCACTAAGGAGCAGAAGCAGGACGTAGCCAGGAGTGTTACTGAGTGAGTGGCCGCATAATTTTAAATCTCATGACATTCAGCTGGCTACCAGAAACTGCACTATGGAGCTCCATTGTTCTGCTAATAATGGAAATGGCCACCTTCCTTATTTCTTACTCCTGCTCGCTTGCTGTGACCACTTTCCATTTACCCTTTGTCAGTGGAAATCACAGGCTAATCTGTCAGACACCATGTAAAATGCAGTGCTTTCCTATACCTCATCTAGTTAACATGGAGTGGGGGGGGGGTTTCAAAGACTATCAGGTGAAGTTTTAGACGGGCTTTTTGTTGGTAGTAAGCCTTGCTGGGAGAGCATCTCCACAAACAGGCAGGAGGTGGAAGAAGAGTGGGTAAGGAACCCTTTTCCAAAGTTGAGCAATATCTTCCATAAAGGGGTTTTCCTTTCTAGAGTAGCCATTTGTAAATATGGGAAAGGCAGGGCAGTCCCATCTAACCTCCTGATCAAGAAAGCAATTAAGAATATTGCCCAACTTGGCTTTACTGAAGTGCTGGTCTAAATAGCCAGTGCGAAGGCTTAAGATTCATATGCTACTGAACTTATGCTCTGTCTTTAGTATCTTATTATGACCTCAATATATGAGGTCATAATTGGCTAGACTAACTCTGAGGGATTCCAGAAAGTTTCTCTGTTGTTGCTTTGCTTTGCTTTGTTTTGTTTTTGTCCTAATGGCCCTAAGCAGTCTTATTTTAAAGAGATATTGGAGATACAATATTGCACAGTTAACAAGACTATTAAGCTTACTCTGATCTGTTTAGCTTGTGACTTCTATTATTGTCCCCTTGGGCTTATCTGTAGGTTTTCTAACATCCCTGGGCTGTAGGCAAAAACGTTTCTACTCCTCTTGGTTCCAAAGGGAAAAAAAAATGTATGAGTGCATACTTGGTCAGTTCCCATCATGCTCTCCCAGGAACTCAAGCTTCAGCAAAAAAGGAGCTGTGGTGACCTCTGCTGGGCATATTTAGTAGTTATGTACTTTTTTGTTATGTTCCTCTCAATTGGCCCATCAATCTTGAACTGCAAATGCCATTCTTACACACAGATCTCTTTTACACCAGGCTTCTCAATGCTCATTAGACTCATGGACCCCTTGGAGAATGCCATCTCCTTGGCTTTCAGTCTTTTAACTGCAGAAAAAGAATTCGTTGCAAAAAAACTGAAAGACCACAACAGAATGATTTTGACATTGTGGATTCTTCTTTGAAACTTCTAGGTTTAACTTGTTAATCATGCATAGGTGTTAGGTTTGCAAACTGCTAATATTGTGTGACACCTTCTACAAGAATCTCACAGCAATTTAGTTGAGACTCACTGCTTTATGCTCTGGTGTGGGGCTTTTAAAAACCAGAACGTATCTAAGAGAGCTTTATCTGGAGTTCATCACTACTGTGCCTGCAGGTTCCAACCTCACTTGTTACTACAAATCCACATAGAACTTGGACTCCTTTGTGGTACCATGAAGGGAGGCTTTTAACCATGGTTTTAGAGGGGAAAAAAGACCCTAGAGAAATGGAATAGAGGCTTCTAAAACATGACATCCTTCCTCTGTTATGTTCTCATCAGTACCATTCTCCACATCCTTTAAGTGACAAGGGGCCTTTTGGTGCTGTTGACAAGCATCATCCTTTTGCTGTTTCAGATTGAAGATTTTCACGTGCACAGATTTTATCATTTGCAGAAAAACAACAGAAAATTGTTGCGATCTTATTCATTCACTGATTTAGTGTGATTCAGGATTAGGTGTCTGCATTTGTCAATTGAACAATCTGTCCTTTTCTGAGGCTCTTTCCTAGATGGGTTGTGAAATATCAGCCATGAAAGCAACCCCTAGATCCTAAAACATCTCAATGAAGCTTCAAAAAGCAGGTACTAAAAAATCATTCTTTAATATTGTCTAAATAGGAGGTTGGGGAGGAAAATCCTGGCAAGCTGTTCTGTGCGTTTTAAAACTAGTTTTGAAGCTAGTATGCCTGTGACTATTGGTGCTTAGATACTAATAGTGGTCTAATCTAACCCCCCCCAATCGCATGGAGAGAGGCTGAATTGAAGCCCCTTTAAAATGTTGGCTTTAAATCTCATGCATCTTCCTTGTTAGGGAGCTATTCTGTCTCTTTTAATTCACTTCCCTTGAGTAATTCCATATTATCATTTTGATTTCTGCTTCTGCCAGGTGCTCCCAGCATAATAGGGTTGGGGCCCTGATTTGGGTTGAAGCTGAAAAAAGATCAATGTCCAGCTGTAGTCCTTAAAGTGCTGTGCATTAAATGTAATTGTCTGTAAATGTTCAAAAAAATCATAGACAACAAAGACTGAAAGTAAAGGTGAAGTCTATATTTATGCAAGGAAAAGCCAGTTTGTATTGCAAGCATCTAAGGTATGCAAAAGAAGAATGCAGACCTACTCCCTGCTCTGAAGTACTATCTAGGTAAAAAGGCAAAACAGATAGATAAGAAGGGAAAGGGAGACAGAGGGGACTGACTTGCATGGTACTTCACAGTAGAGGTGAGGCTAGGTCTCCCAAATCCATTCTATTTGCCTGTTCACAACACTATACTTCCTCAACATCACATCTGTTTGAGAAGTGACTTTAAATTATGTTTTTACTTTCCCCTTTGTAGAAGTGCTATTTTCTATTAGAATTTTTTTTTGGCCTTTCTTCATTTGTACATGTAGGACAGACATATTCTTCTATACTTTTTCTTCCATGTTCTTTTTACCAGTTCCTGTAATGATCTAAAATCACATGGTAAAGTTGAGCCAGATTCTATGATTTACACTCCATGGCCACATCCAGACAAGCATGGGTGTGTGGTATTTGACGCTGCAGACCTGTCTGTGGTGCCACATACCCCACATACAGGTGCTGCCCACTCTGCTACCTTGCAACATGGGGTGGCATTTTGACCCCTAGAGATTCTAGGGTCAAAAAAACCCCATGGCTTTAAGGTGGGGTGGCGCACGTAGCAGTAGCACATGCCACTCAAAACCGGATCCTGGCCTGCTGAAGCCATGCTGCAGCTGCTGACCAGGCTTCCAGCTGCAGGAGAACCATGGCTGCAACTCCCAGAGGCCCTCAGGACCCCAGGTAAGGCTGCTGGGGCCAGCACAGTTGTTGGCCACAGCCTCCCCTATCCCACCCAGGTAACCTGCTGTGCACCAGAGGGCGCATAACATGGGTGTTCCCTGGGGACAAGTAGCAGCAGAACAAGGTGTGCTTTTGCTGCTTGTTCCCAGGGGAACAAGCATCCACACTCATCTTGCCGTGGCCCATGTGACTGTGGTGACTGCAAGAGACTGTGTGGCTTGGCATGGCAGCCGTGCACCTCATTACTTCCCCTATTCTTCATTGCACAGCTAGCCTGTGTTGCTTTGTAACCAGATGTTACAACTGCTTTAGCTGATTTAAGTTCTGATAGTTTTTTGTTTCTAAAGGCCACCTGACTGCCAGTCAGGCTCTCTGAAAAATAGAACAATTGAAGAATCACTGTTGATATCTACCCAACATGAAAATAAAACATGTTTTAATGAAAATGCAGATTGCTTGCAGAATTTCCCTCCAGTTTCCTAAGTACTTCCATTTCATTATTCCTCTGAAATGTTTATGACAAAGAGCTTTTCAAAGAACATTCAGTTACTAATACTAAAAAGTCGGCTACTTGGATATCTCTGTTCCCCTGTAAAGCAGGAAAGAGTCTGGATTGTGTAAAATGTTTATGACATTGGCTATTAAAGTTGTAGTAATAATGTTGCTGCTTAGTCATAAGGCTGATAAAGTCATGCACTTTCACAGATGTGTAGGTCTATAATGGGAGGGCAATCCTGGCTACTGAAGGGCGTGTTAGTTTTTTTTCCTAAGCCTTGGTTTCTTTGCCTTTTAAGTTTTTTAATGGAGCTATTGCCATTGTATAATTTATTTTTAAAGTTTGACAGAATGAATAGGATAAAACAGCCCTGTCCAGTCTCCTTTGGGATGGGCAGGAGTGTCATGCCTACTACCAATGTTCTTGTACAATTCACTATCGGAGTTCAGACCATATGCTATTCTGTCTATTCTTGTGCGCTCTCCCTCCCCTCTCTTATTGTTTCTTCTCTCCTACACCTTGTGGCTCTTCCTCCAGGCTCCATTACTCTGGGTTCTGGTTTATCTGTTGGTGACTGATGGAAAGAAGGAAAGGTTTCAAAGACCTTGACTCCTGTAACTTTCCTTAGAACAGGAAGGATTTACCTGCAGAATGGTCAGCTGGATCACACCTTTTGGAGTCCTTTTGGTCTGCTTAGTACCTGTGTAACGTGGGCGGTACTCCGAGAGGTACCCCCTCTCCAATTGAAGGGATCAGAGCAGGTGCACAAGTGCCGTGGGAGATGTAAGGACTCTCGTCCCCCTATGGAGTAGAGCTAGACCACCAGTGGGCCTTAACCATATACCTTTTAATGAAAGAACAGTACTGGGGACATAACAGGCATAAACCAGGGGGTATAGGGGATACTACAATGCCCCAAGGGGGCAGGATTCAACAAAGGTTAGACACTTACAATCATTGACAAAAGACAGGGTTAACAAAATATAAAATACAAACAATACTGGTTGGTGAAATATAAAAAGGCACAAAATGTCAAATGACAAGGAAATATAGGGCCTAGGTACCTGGAGGGGGAGAAAAGGGGAAAACATAATGGCCCCTTTCCACTGCAAGAAGATTTTCTCCTTGTTAGCTCACTCACCCCAGGTCACCCCGGCTGAG